CACAGAGTTCATATGATCTCTGCCTTTAGAATGCTGGGATTAAAGACAGGCACACCTAACACCTTCATAGTACTGTAACCATCCGCCACCATGATCCTCTTTGGTTTTTATTTTTACTTTAAAATAATAATGGTTATCAATATCTTTTTTGTTTATTGTTAGTAGTGTATTGCTGGACTGCAACCCAGGGCTTTACCTGTTTCCCAAGGCCAGGCAAGAAGCACCAAGGCATGGTAAGGTGCCCAGCAAGGTGCAAGGGGAATGGTACGGCCAGGTACACTGAAAGGTGCAAGAAGGGGCGTGGCGAGCCTGGGAGGATGCTCTAGGCAAAGTGCTATGTGCTTCAGTGGGCGGTCCTGGGAAGGGAGATGGCACAGGGTCTGCTGGCATCCTGGGGGAAGGCCCAGTGAGCATGTTCCTGAGCCACTGTCCTTCCCAGGTACCACTCCAGGGCTCCTGTATGTGCAAAGGAGCCAGCCCTGTTTTTATCTGGTTAGTTTTCTATTGATCTGCTTGGGCCCTGGCAGTTGGCATAAGCAGTTCTTGGGAACAAAGGGCTAAGGAAGGTGATTACTGAGCTATGGGAGAGCACGCAGGTGAGGAGGTCGAAGTGTGCCTTTGTTTTTAGGAGAAGCCCCACAAAGCTTGAAGACATCCTTCGGAGTAGCAGAGACCCTCCAGGACAGGGCCCCGTCCCCGGCACACTCTGCTGGGAGGCACATGCTCTTCTGCCTGCTTCCACCCAGGGTCTACGGTTAATTCCCTCCATGTCTCTTTCTTTGCTGATTTGGGCTTTTCTGAGATGGGGGTCTTGCATTGTGGTGCAGACTGTCCTCAAACTCTCCATCTTCCTGTCTCAGACTCCTGAGTGCGGAGATTATAGGTGTGGGTTACAAGGCCTGGTTTTCCAGGCCTCCTTTCTTTTCCGCACTCATTTTGTTGAGATGTGTAGTGTGCGTTTTTTTGTATTTGTGTGCCCTGCAGCCCTTTTGATGCCTCAGGTTAAGAGCACTGGCTGCTCTTTCAGAGGGACTTTGATTCTCAGCACCCAAAGGCAGGCAACTCACAGCCATCTGTAACTCTAAATCCATGGGATTAAACGCCATCTTCTGGCCTTTGGGGGTACTCCATGCACATGGCGTGCAAGCACAGTCACACACAGGCAAACACCAGTCAGTACACATGGAACTTAAACAACAAGACCAGCCTGGTGTTGGTGGCGCACGCCTTTAATTCCAGCACTTGGGAGGCAGAGGCAGGCAGATCTCTGTGAGTTCTAGGCCAGCCTGGTCTACACAGTGAGTTCGAGGACAACCTCCAAAACAATACAGAGAAACCCTGTCTCGAAAAACAAAAACAAAACAGAACAAAACAAAAAACCCAACAAGACCGAAATAAAACAAAGAAAAACCCACAGCAGCAGCAACAAAAGAGTAGCTCTCCTCTCATTATGCCCTTGCCTCCTCACTGCCAGGGCTGTTGTTATAGACTGGCAGACAGGCGTGTTGCATGTCCAAATTCAGGAGGGGCGCCACTGTCCTCTCAAGCATTAATGAGACAATTCTTTATTTTAAAAGACAAGTCGTGTAATTAAGAGCTGATTATTCACCTGACAAATAGTTCTTCACTCAAACTGGAGAATACCTTTAAAAAGCAGCTTCCCCTCACTGCATTTTTCTGTGTAGCTCGTCAGCTATGGGGCAGAGATCTCCATGGATGCTGAGAGTGAGCTCCCGGGGCTGAAGAACAGAAGATGGAACAGAGAAAGTGTTTGTGAACCGTGGCGTTTATTCCAAGACATGCCTCAAGAATGCATTTATTAACTTTAAAAAGTACTTAATAGATTTATATGCCATCTCTCTGCCTATCATCAGTCAGTCAACCAATCTAAACTATCATAGTCTGACTGTGTAGCTAAGACTGGCTTCTGCCTATCTGTCTATTACCTATTAATCAATCAATCGTCTGTTGTGGTGGTATCTCACTGTGTAGCTCAGGCTGGCCTTGATGACATAGGAACCATAGGTGTCCAGCTAGGAACACTACTTGGGAGCCACCTGTATGACTCTCTGGGCAGAGTGGTCAGCAATCTTATCTCTACAGACCTTGCCCTTCTTGTCTACAGGACAGCGGACTCATGCCTGAGCTGCTCCTCTATCCATACTCCATTTTTCTTGGCTTTAATGTGCTTGCTTCCTCTCTCATGGTTTGGGGACATCCAAGTTTCTCATGGAATGTAGCAACAGGGTTTTGGATTTTTGGGAATACGTGCTCATTTGCAGATCGTACTGTGCTTCTTGGTCCTGGAATTTAAGCAGTAGCGCGATCTCCAACCCGCTTGATTAGATGGGCAGCATCTCACATTGTCTAAGTACCCTCCAGGAGGTGTGGTCTGCCCCACCTCCCATTGAGGATTACTCTTGGCAGGAACTTCCCTGTGCATTGTAGATTGCCTAGTAACATTCTTGGCCTCTATCTGCTGGTGAACTGTTATCCCTCAATGTGGCAGTTGAAGATGTCTCTAGACATTGCCAGATGTACCATGGGGGCAATACCCACTCTCCCCACTTCCCTTCTTCCATTTCCAGCCATCATTTGATTTTTGCCTAAGGGCCTTCACTGACCTTCTTCAGTGTTCACCAATGAAGGACAATGGAGCTCCTGTCTCAAGGTTTTTGTGTCATCAAATTTTGAGCCAAGTGATCTTGGTACAGAAAGGGCTGGGATAATTGGATTATCGAAGGGCTGAGGCTAGAATATCTATCTAGCCATTCTTTGTTGACCATGCTTCCTTTTGACTGTAAATTTGACTGGCCGGCTTCCCTGGCTAGCTCAGCTATTCTTGCACAGTCCAGGCACCCCTGCCTGTAGAGAGGTAGCTTATCAAGGCAGAAACACGTGGGAATTAAAACTCCATTTCCAGCTAGACAGCAAGAGAAAGTAGAAGGGCCTGTGCCCCACTCTCCCCTTCAAGGACATGCCCTGAGTGACCTGACTTCCAGTAGGCGCCACCTCCTAGCCATTCCACCATCTCCCAATAGCCTACAGGCTGAGAGGAACAAGTCTTTAGCATATGGCCGCTGGGGAACATTTAAGATACAGACTACAGCATGATTTCAAGACTAGCAGGCCAAAGGATGGAGCAGATTCTCCTAGATTCTTTGACCCAGCAAACCCTTTCAGAATGGCCACCTCCGAACCGGAAGATTGTAAGAGCCAGTGGTCAGAGTGGACCAGAGTGAGACATGGCAGGACTCCTGTACTCATGAGCTCAGAGCAGCTGGTCTGCCTGCACGAGATACAGCTAGTCCAACTTGTCATCATGGATAGGGAAGGGGTTCATGAGCCCTCACCCCTAACTGAGGAGCTATGAACAATTGGTGGCTTCTGGAAGAAGGACAGACATTTTCATTAAGGGTGTGGCTCCTCCTAGGTGAGCCACACTCCAGTGCAGGGGTTCTCAACTCCTAAGGCTGCATCCCTTATTACATACCGTTCCTCAGGTTGTGCTGACCCCAACCATACAATTATTTTTGTTGCTACTTCATAACGGTAATTTTGCTACTGTTATAAGTTGTAATGTAAAATATCTGTGTTTTCCGATGGACTTTGGTGACCCCTGTGAAAGGATCATTCAACCCAAAGGGGTTGAGACCTGTAGGTTGAGAACTACTGCTCTAGTGGGTGGTCCCACACCCAGGAGTATACCGGAAGTGCAAAACGGAATTGATGGGTTATTAAAAAAAGACAAGGTTGGAACGTCGGGGTGGACCTAGGAGGAGTTAAGAGTTGAGGGTAAAAATGATCAAAATGCAGTGTGTGAAATTCTCAAGGAAAATAAATGGACCCTTAGCATGCCTGTCAGCATAGCCTCAAGACAGACTTGCCCCCCAGTGCGTGCCATAGGCCCCGGATGCCTTCACTGAGTCCTGTCTGTACTTACCGGGGAGATCTGACTCCGTTTGATTTATACATTGGGCAGAGTGAGATGTTTGCTGATACTTTCAGAACATATTTCCCCTGGGTGGGTCACTCTTGATAGAACACAGCTTCTTGTGCACGGGCACAAGTTCACTAACCTCCTCACCCTTGGAGGGTGGTGTTTAAATGCTGCCTGCTTTACTATGAGATAATTGGTGTTGAATTCTTGGTGTATTAGGTGTATGGTATTTTTATTGTTCTGCTTTTAACAAAAAAGGAATTTGCAAGTCTGGGAAATTAGAATGAGTTGGTCGGAACATTTGTTGGATTAGAAGAAGCAGACCTAATGAATTTGTTCACCAGGCATTCCAGGCCACTAATCCAAATAGGTCCGTCCTGGATTAATGCATGGCATGCATTTTTCTTTCACTTCAGTTTAGCATTAATTGTTTTATATGCTATAGCAGAAAAATGTGACTGGGGCAAGCCTCCTAAACAGCTGTGTAAGACTCCCCTCCTCTTCCCCTCCCTCTTTGTTTTCCCATCCTGGGGATCAACACAGGTCTATTTTGCCTGCTAGGCAAGTGCCATCTGAAAGATCTATACTCACAGGCTATCATCACCTTCTTTAGGTCGCTACATTATGTTTCTTTTGGATATGATACCGAACTCCATGTGCAGTAGTTGGTGGGCTCTGAAATCACATCGTGAGAGCTTTTATATCCTGAAACATGTGGGTGCTTGCATTTTGGCTCGATCTATGACTCCTGTATTTACTGATACATGCAGATCCTTCCTCATGTTGGCATGTTGCAGTACTCCATTTAGAAGCAAATCGTGAGGCTGGAGAGATGGCTCAGTGGTTACAAGCCCTGACTGCTCTTGCAGAGGACACGGGGTGACTCATGGTCATCCATGACACCTCCCATGCCTCGTCCCAATCAGTGTCCACCTGTGGTCTCCTTCAGTTGTGGAGCCCTGCTTACCACAGCAGGGCTAAGAGGAATCATTGCTTCCCCGAGAGCCTGGATTTGGAGGCTCTGGTGCCCAAACTGAGCCCTTTGTTCTCTGCTTTGCAGGAGCCTGAAGCTACTGCAGACTCTGCTGTGACGTCTTGTCGCCAGGCTACCGCCATCCTCAGTGAGAAGGTCCACGAATCTTACTCCAGGTACTGTCTGGCCCTGGGCACCCTGGAACATGAACATTTTTGCACTAGAATGTATCATTCATTTCAACCCAACCTAACTGGTAACTGTAGCCCTAAGTCATCTTTGGACATGGAATCTCTGAACCTTGTAGCACCTAGCCCTGTCTTATTTTTTAAATTCCCAACACTTCTTCAGACTTGAGTGTTTTGAGTGGGGGCATCGGGGTGGGGAGTGGGGAGTGCAGGGGGTGGGAGGGGTCTCTCTGCTTGGCCAGAGAGACTGCCTTGCTTTTCTTTTTAAATAAAAGTAATTCACCTGAAAAGTATGTTTGGGTTCTGCATAGAAAAAGGGTGCCACTGGAAATATACTTTAAAAATCTACTGTTCTAGTTAGGGGTGGTGGTGCACACCTTTAATCCCAACATTCAGATGGAGGCAAGTGGATCTTTGTGAGTTCAAGGTCAGTCTGGTCTACAGAGTTCCAGGACAGTTGGGGCTACCTAGAGAGATCCTGAGTCCCCAGTAATTATTGCTTAAGATACAAATGGTTGTGGGAGAAAATCTACTGCTGTATTTACTTCCTATTAAATCGCAGAGATTCACTGGGTGTGGAGATTTCATTCTTGTTCTTGTGTTATCATCAGAAAACATGGAAGGGTAAAGCTTTCAGTGTGGCTAGAGAGCACGTGGGGGTAAGGGTGTGTGTGTGTGTGTGTGTGTGTGTGTGTGTGTGTGTGTGTGTGCATGTGTGTATACACAGTGCCTCACACGTCCTTACAGTCATTCATGGCCACTCACAGCCTTCATTCCATCTTTACCTATGTTAAGAATGCCCACATAATCAGGAGCAGCAGACCACTGAGTCCTTTAATCAGAAGGCATTTGCGGGAGACACAGCAGGTGACCAGTGTCACGTGTGAGCCTTGCAGGAAGGATTAAGAAGGGAGGAGGAAGGGGCTGGGGAGTGTGGATCTGCAGGGGGGATTAAGCTATAAGCAGTACCTGTTGATGAAGCTACTGTAACCTCATTAATAATGTCATCCTGTCATTAATTCTGTTAATAATAATTCCATTATAATAAGGCCTTCCTGTCTTGGCCAGGCGTGTTTACACCTCCATTTGCACCGAGGACAGGGAGCTCACGAAGCTGACTCATCCACGGAGGAGGGTTTGTAGCATACACTAGGTACTCAATAATATTTGTTGCGCAGACAGTTGGGTCTAAACAGTTCCTTGCTTTCTTCTCCCATGTAGATAAGTGCACTATGAGGTGTGTGTGTGGGGTGCATATGGTTCATCTTTTGTAGGTTCTGCAATCTAGGATGATGATGATGGCCCAGGGGGGAGGCCTTCTTTTTGGAGACAGGGCTTTATATAGTCCTGAATGGCCTGGAGCTCCATATGTGAACCAGGTCGGCCTCAGATTCAAAGATCCACTCATCTCTGCCTCTCAAGATGTGTGCCACAATATGCCATTACCATAGGTAGTGTTTTTTAATTTTATTTAATTTTTTGTCAGTGTCACATACATAGATACATATGTGTGTGTGTGTGTGTGTGTGTGTGTGTGTGTGTAACGTATTGTGACTCATTTCCAGGTGTAGGCCTGGGCAGAGAGCTGGCTGCCAGTCAGGGTGGAGTTAGGGAGCTCAGCTTGGAGGCCTCCTGCAGCTTGTTGTCAAGTGTGGCTGCTTGCTCCGACAAACCAGTATGGAGGGGGCAAACCAGACAGAGACCTGTACAACTGACCCCACTGTGGGAGTGGCAGTCACTGTGGGTTTCTAAGGGTCTCTGGGTTTCAAGGTTGCTTCCGGCCATCCAGGTGGGAGTGTGGGAGAGCTCATCTGGCTGTGCTAGGTCTCTGGGACCTGTGAGTGTGCTGGTTGGTAGCTTGTTGCAAGATTCACAGCCTGTGGGGGAGTGAGCGTGGTGGCATGAGTTACTCTTGAGAATTTCGTTATCTTGTTGGGTTGTATAGGAAAACATGTTCTGGAATCTTGAAGGATTGCTGTAGCAATCGAGGTGTCCTCGAAGTAGGTTGTCAGGTGACAGTGGGGGACTATGGTGGGTCTTGCCTAAGACATATGTTGAAATTTTTAGGAGTTCTAAAGGGCTGGGAGTGTAACTCAGCAGTGGGTGTGTGTCTAGTACATTCCATCCCCAGCACCAAATACCCCCGCCCCCCCCCACATATGACTTTAAAAAACAGTAGACTAGACTTTCTTCTCAGATGTAGAATCAATTGTCAGAAAGAAGGGAGCCTTTCACCTAGTTGGGTCTAGAACACTGGTGTTTGAGGCAGTGGGTCAAGTTCAGGTCCTGGAGTGATGTGTGGTAATAGTACGTTAGAACGATTAAAACAAGCAGTTGACACAGCCACTGACCTATGATAAAATTCATTCTTGGTGACCACAATACTCCCCCAGGGGGCAGCTAGTTTCATTCCTTTAGAATTCTTACAGCATTCTGGGTGCCTATCTCCACCTCCACCTGGCCTCAGTGCCGGTCTCTGATGGTTCAGATAAGCTATTCCTATCTTTGAAGACCTTTGTGTAATCGGACATTTTCTTCCTGCTCTCTGAAGGAATCAGGCAAATCAAACCTTCTCTACTCTGTTCCTGCCTCCCGGGGTGGCCGTCTAGTGTATGCACATTCCACAGGGGAAACCTCATGGCAGGGACAATACGCCTGGGAGATTTTTTAAGATTGAGGACAGGCTTGGCCTGAATGAGTATTTCAGATTGTAAATACCTTCCTTCTGGAGCGAGTGTCTGAAATTTTGGCCACCAGTGCAGTATGACTTGGAATAAGTCAGGAAGACCTACTACAAAATGCGACATTTCCTGTGTAGGGATTATTTGTGCATGACTTATGCTTAGATAGTACCCATGGCAACAGTGGCCTGTGTTCTGTACCTGAAGAGTCTTTGAGAAAACCTGGTCAGGAACAAATGACAAGTACGACAGGTTATAACATTTGCTTATGCAAAGATACGTTCACCAATCCGGTTGATGTTGTGCAACGAGGCGCCAACGCAGGAGCCTGTACCCCGGTAACCGGAAGTCCTTGGACTTGTGTTTGTCCCCCTCCCCACTCTGGTGTTTTTCACAACAAATCTGGAAGTCTTCCTCTAAGTAGAGGTGTGAATCTGGAGGCGTGAATCCAGTGTGACCAGGCTAGACTCCTCTCGGGGTGGTTTTGTGCAGCCCTCCTGCTTCTCCCTGGCTTCAGGCCTCCGGTGCAGTTTCTCTTGTCTTGTCCCACGTGATACCTGCAGGGGCAGCAGGTGTGTGCTGTTTCTCTCCAGGACTGGCTGGAAAGTAAAATTCCCGGCGACCCTCCAGTCTGTATCACAAAACTGTGTGCTGGGAAATGCCCCCCCTCCCTCTCCCTACCTCTAACTCGGCAGCCGTGAGCTTCAGAATAACCTATGAATTCTTCCTTTTCCCACAAGTCAAATCTTCAGAATTCATGTTAGCTCCTCCCACACAAGGTGGAGTGAGAGATGGCTAGCTTTTCTGTCTTAATTCTGGGACTCAAAGAAATAGCTTACAGCACAGCTGGAGAGGGCAGCCCTGGTCTTTTTGATTCTTGGCTATTTTTATAAAACCAATAAAAAATGGTTCAATATTAATAATTTTATATGTGTAGTCAGACCTTCCCATTGGGTCTGTCGGCTCCCCAATAATGACATGGAGACTTATTACTAATTATGAAAGTTGGGCTGACAGCTTAGGTTTGCTTCTAACTGGCTCTGATAGCTTAAGTTAACCCGTCCTTACATTAATCTATGTTTTGCCTTGTGGCTTTTTATCTCTCTTCCATCGTGCACTTCCCGTTTCCTCTCGTCTGCCTGGCGACTCTGCTTTCTTCCTCCCAGAGCTCTCTCTGTCCAGAGTCCAGCCTATGGATTACCTCATGCCAATCATAGTGACACATCTTCACACAGTGTAAAGGAATATTCCACAACACATATGGTCTGACTTGATTCCGTACAAAAGACTATTTCACTTAATACATGGCAGTGGCTAATAGCATTTGAAGCTGTCCAGGCTCTGGGGTATGGTGCGGGGCCTGGGGTAGGAGACGCAAGCACTTCTGGGTCTGTTGTAGGTGAATTTATTTCTTTTTGCATTTAACTTTGGAAATTTCCAGACCTGCGGAGAGACAGAGAAAAACGTAACAAAATCCCAGGGACCTAATTACCAGCATTTCCTATGTAGACATGAGATGGGTTGACCTTGCCAGGGACCCTCTTGTCTTCCCTTTTTCCTCCTGTTTGTTGATTTCATTAGAGAGATTTTCTCCCTTTAATTCAGAATCATTGTACACTCATTATAGGGAGAAATAGCAAAAATTCAGGAAATAAAAGAGGCCTATAATCCTCCAGAGAGGCAATGTCTTCCTGCCCTGGAAATTCTTTATATGCTGGTTTTTTATGCTTTCCCATACTTTACAGACATATAATATTTCCAGCACATTTAATCTCACTTGACTTGTCTGGAGTCCCCTCTACATACCTTTTCCAAGCCCCTGTTGTCTGTAAGATATCTAAAATGTTCTTACCACAGCCCTGGGAAGGCCATGTAGCTGAAATGATCCACTTTTACTCTCATCTCCTACACTACAAAGCCAGCAGCAGGAGTGGAGTGAGTAACCCCATCGGAGTCATTCTGTTGTGCTTGGAGTGAACAATTAAAGTTTGCATTCAGGGAGACAGACAGTGGTGACTCATGTCTTTAATCCCAGCACTCAGGAGGCAGAGACAGGCAGATCTCTGAGTTCGAAGCCAGTCTGGTCTATAGAGTGAGTTCCAGGACAGCCAGAACTGTTACACAGAGAAATCCTGTCTGAAATAACAACAACAAAACAGTTTGCATTCAGGAACTAGTTAGTTGTCACCAAATGTGTGTCAATTGTTTGTGTCAATAGATTTCAGATGAGATGATACAGTGAGTATTGACTGACAGCAGGAGGCATGTTTGGACAAATTCATGTCCAGCGAGCCAGGAATGAAAAAA